GCCAGTTCGTGAACAAAAGACAGTTATATAACACCGCACAGTCTGGGCTCTGTTTACAAGGCTGCAGACCTGGCTGAAATACTCGGGCGTCGATGAAGGTCACCTATCAACTTAGAGTAGTGCCTGAAGATTACTTCGTGTGGCTATAAACGACCGTTAAATGAAACGATGAATTTTTGAAGGATTTTGAAAAATGGAAAAAATGATAGTCATGCCGGCCCAGCATCATCAACATTGAAAAATGCCCCGGCACAAAGTGGTTAAAGCAAACCCCTGGTATTGCAGTATGCTTTGAACTGTACTTTGCTGATTGTATTTTGAACTACAGATGAAAACAAAAATGAGGTTTTTACAAACACCAAGCCCTGCCAAGTTCATGTTGGAAACCCACCACTTCAATTTGTGATTACGAAAAACATCTCCACCAAGAAAACCATTTCTGCTATTATAACAATAATGACTTTGATCTTTGACCTATGAAGCCCCAAATCAAGAGACTTCCAGAGGGCACTATGACCAACTAACACACCAAAGTTAAAGCTAATAACATTGATACCAACTCTTTTTCAAGTTATCTAAGTATGGCAGACAACTTCACCCTTTTCAGTGAAGCTGAGACAATTTCTTTCTAAGACTATACACAAACATGTCCATGAAGATTTGAATCAAGTCCAATGTGAAGAAGGGCGGGCTGTAAATACCGAGGTGTACCATAGGTATTCATACCCTTTGTTCTAGCCGTGCTCGACGTAATGACACCCATTCCTCCAAGTCTTTTTTCTCTCTGGTGTGCTGGGCATCTAGCTGCAGTCTAGTCTTACTCTGGTACGCATGCAAGAGCTCCAGCTCTTGTTTTAGAGTCTCGTGCAGTTCTTTGCATTCCCGTTGTTGAGAGTCACTCAGGCGTATCTGGAAGAACGATAGAACGTACATTATTACAAGCACGTTACATGCAATCCAATGGTACTCAGTGGATCCTGGTCCCCACTGGCTCCACAGGAAAGTGAACATGTACACAAAGTGTGACATCATTAGTACATAAACATATTAATCTATGTCTTAAGCCAAGCTCCCTCAACATTTCTGCTCAACCGTTCCTGAATCCTATAAATATAAACACTATGCAGGGATCCAGGTACTTTTGAAGTTAAATTTGTCTAAATCCTGCATAATGTTGGAAAACCCCCACTGGATTTTGAAAGATGTAGGAGGGAGTGGATAGAGTATGCTGACATTTGAAACCAAGACAGACAACGAAATTGCCTGACACATGGTGTCCTTGGACTTCATATTTTCCGCGGCAACTAACTGTACTGTGTTTTTAATCCGACAATGAAACTTGAAGAACTCTTTGGTCCTTCTAAAAGATTGAACATGAAACATATAAATATTAATATGATTTCTTGCAAGCCTTCAGCATGGCTTCAGGATTTTTTGACAACATCCTTTTGGGGCAGCAAAGTCAAAGCTCTCTGTGAAGGACACTAACTTAGGGACTGGGTCAGCATTAACAATATTATATCTTACACCACATATCTGGCATCAAACTTGGTACTCATATGTACTGAAAGACCATTTTCATATACATTACGGTTTTACTTTGATGGCTGGTTTGACATGTATAATGAGGTAAATTTGCACAAAGTCACAAGTAAATAAATTTTCGTACACTCTCTGCGAAGTTTGAAATTGTACAGGCTGCAAATAAGAAGCACTGTAGGAGAAAGATCTAATCCCCCCCAAGTAAAAGATGGCAGCCTGCTCAATATGGCAGCGGATAACTCACTCTGTGAGATCTGACTTACAGATTGTGACTGAAGCATCTCCTGACTACTCAGGCGGTACTGCTCCCCTAGGATGGCCATCTTTCTCTTCTGTTCCTCCTTCATTTTCTTGGCTACGCTCTTCTGCTTCTCCCGGGCAGTGTTCTGCAAGACTTGGGTCTGGAGTGCCTTGAACTGCTTCATCTGTATCTTGCAGGCATCATGGTACTGTTTCTTGATGGATTGCTCTTTGATCTGGGGTAAAAAGCATATTGCCATTAAACCAGCAAATGACAGTTCTAACGCTCAAGTCTCAAATTTATGAGTCAATGGACTCGGTAAAATTCATTACTTGCTATACCAAACACTAACAGAATATCCTTGGCAACCAAAAACACATTTTGTGCACTCCGTTCTTCCTCCACCTTTAAAGCCATGTTGTTAACATTTTTTTGGAACCCAATACATAACCATGTGTGGTATTCTACCACTCCAATTGTAATGAACAGTAATCTGACTAATACGGAATCAACATCCCCACTCCATTCTCAAATGCCCAGTAACCTACACTGAGGTTCCAAGCTTGTCTTATTTCCAGTCCACATTTCTCCATGCCCAGTAAACCCTATGTAACTTTAGGTTCTTGTTTTCAGCCAATAATTCTTCCCCTGTAAACTCTTCCGAATACTCAGCAACCCCCAAATTTGTCTGATTCTTGGCTTTTTGTTTCCAGTCAACATCTCTTCATGTCAACCTCTCTTCCCTGCCCAGTAACGCCAATGCACATTGTGATTCCTGGCTCATTTGGCCTGCAATCCACAACTCTGTATGTATCACACGCTAACCAAAGCCAAATAACCACAATGCTCCAATAACCCTCCTATGCTGAAGTCACTCTTTGGGTCACTTGGTAAACACCTCAAAGAAGCACAGCTGTGTCGTGTCGTGCACTGCACCAACTGCCCTTCACAGGAATATCAGATTGCACTTTTGTGCTACCCAACAACTGTGCTTCACTGTTTCATGTGCATAATTGTGCAGTAAACCAAATGCAGCGAAGAGGACTGCACAAAAGACCCTGGATCATTTTGTGCTGACAACCTACTGTGTACACACTGAACCTGTGCATGTTTGTGTTCTATATAGAAAACACATGCAAAAGAGTGACTGTGGGCACTTGTGCATATTTGTGCTGTAAAACCAAAGGAGGGTTAAACATCCTCATGTTTTCCTATAGCTGCCATTTTATACTGTCAGCAATATCAACCATGCCCCAAATCCCTGTATACTTTGAGATTCTTAGGTTTGGTATCTCGCCCACATTTCAACCCCCCCCCCCAAGTAACCCCAGCACACCTTGAGATTCTTGGGTTGTTGTTTTGTTTCCAGCCCATGTCGCTTCCTGAGATCACGTTGGGCTCTCTTGTTGTACTCTCCTTGGTTGGCCAGCTCTGTTTCAAACTGCTTCTCCATCTGTTCACTCCGCATGTTCTGTATCTGTTTCAGATGTCGGTACTCCAATGACTGTGTCTGCTCATGGTGACGTAGACCCATCACATGCTCCATTTCCTTCACGACTTGCGTCTTATGCAACTTCTGTATGACAGAAGAAAATGTCCATAAATCTTAGGTAAACGGCATGCCCTATGAAAAGTTGTATCAGCGTTGAAGTCTGCTGCTCAGTTCCAGATTGTGCCGATCTCCTGTTTCATTTGGAATTACTTGGATATTGCTACTCACAAAAGAATACTGAACATATCTAATTGTGAATATGAGGTGCAAACTTAGAGCTGTAGTAAATTATTACAGAACGAGCTCACTGACGAAATTAAAACCTGCCAGGTGCATCCATGTTTGTGCCCAAACCTATGGAAAACTTGAAATTGGAACATTTGAATATGTATTCTAAGCCAATGCTGTTATGCCAAAACACTACACGCACAATTAGTGTTTTATTTTGCTCTGTGTTAAAAACACAAACATGTATGACTGCATACAAATTCTGCTGAGGCTTTGTCATGCATCATACTTGTTCTTTCTGTATGTTATACTTGTGTTACATTTACGGTACATCATTTGAAATTTGTTTAATCAAAATGTCTTTATGTTGTACCAACACACATAAATTCAATCGGCTGCTCTCAGTATCATGTAAAAACTTCTCCACGTCAATATTTCTTTCTGTGGAGTCAGCACTCTAATAACTTAATATAGTTGTACAAATTAGAAGTCTAGGCACATTTTTTTTTTTTTTTAATATATATGCTCAGTGCTTGTCCGAGAGCTTGCGAAAAAAGTCACAAAAATACCTCTTGAAAATAGTTTGCGGTACCCGCTGCTTCACCTGACTTGGACCGGCCAGCCAACCCCGGCAAGCTGGGTGGTCGAGTGGTTAAGACATCTGCACTAGTAAGTAAGAGGTTGTGGGTTCGAATCCCACCCAAGTAAGCTTGTGACTTTTTTCGCAAGCTCTCGGACAAACACTGAGCATACAGTGTTTATTAATGTATACGTTGGGTAAGGGCAAAACCCGTTATATAAATTAACATCTCCCCAACGCAAAAATACATCTTGGAAAAAAGTCTTGGTACACTGTTCAATGTCTACTTCACTACTACAGGTTTATGGTAGCCTACCTCCCTGAGCTGATCCTGCTGCTGTGTGTGCTTGGACAATAGCAGCCTGGCTTTGAGTTTCCTGATCTCTGTGTCCAGGAACAACCTTTGCTCCTGCAGCAGCCTCTGCTCTGCCTGTTGTTGCTGCTGCTGTAGTGACTCCTTCCGACTGCGGATGAAAGAGTCTTGCTCCTTCTTTGGTGTGCTATCAACCTCCTGCCCAGAGGTGACAATCAAAGACAAACCGTAATGTGCTTTAGAAAAACAAGGTCTTTCACTCACAATCCTGACCAATATCGGGAGGGCAAGCAGGCATTTTTATGGCTCCAGACACTTTTTATGGAAACTGTAAAAAAGGAATCTGTTGCCTTTACAACCACTAATGATTGCTTGCAAAAATTGGCATGACAACAGATTTCTCTATGCAGACAAGCATGCTCAAGTCTAACAAATAAAGTACAATGCACCTTTTGTTGAATTGACTTAGAATAAGTTCTTCGAGTTTCCTCAATCAAAGTGATGATACAGTCAACACGAAATGCTAAGAGGCAAATCTTTCATTGGTTGATACAGAAGAGACTCCAGCCAATAATCTCATCTTAGATTGGTCCCAGCTTTAGCACTTGACCACATTACCTTCTTGATCTGTTCCTTGTTGATCTTGTACTCTCTCTTCTGGTGCTGCTGGAAGGCTTTGAGTTCTGAGTCATGACGTGACGTGATGGATTTGATCAACTTCTTTTCCTCAGCAAGTGCTGCCTTTTGCTGAAGAGAAAATACAGACAAACATCTCCATGAATACTTACGTATATGCAAAATTTAGGATATCAAGTTAGCAGCAGTCTAGAAATGTAATACCAGAGTAGGAAACATGTTCAGTTGGTTAAAATGACAACCATACATCTGAAGGAGGTTCAACTTTCCAAGCATTTTCAATCTTGGTATATTTTTGTTAGTCATAATAGGTTTGACACTGAACACACAGAAGCTCTGGCATCATCCATTTTTGCTCAGAAAACACATTAATTGGTCAGAAAACAGCCAATGTCCGACCATAATCTCACTCTCTGAATTTTGTTACAATGGGAACAATTTAACAGTGGCCAATAGAGCTGAAATGGTTCCAAACACTAGTCACAGCCAACTGCTCGGCCATTGTCATGTTCACTTTACAACTATTTGCAAGGAAGCCAAGTGCATCCATCAATTAGCATCCCCTTTCACAACCCACCATTGTCCAGATTTCTGGCAACAAGGATACCTTCAAAATGCAAACTTCACATGAAAGTCTTTCTGACTAGCAAGGGCAAATAGGAACAGTAAATGAAAAGAGCACAGCTACACATCACATTGATACTCAGTTCCATTTCTATGCAATAAGTGACAGAACAAGATCCCAGCTGGTTACCTTCCTGTCTTCTTCTTGTTGGTGTTTCTGTGACAGCTTCTCTAAGTCTTTTGCATTGGTTTGTACACATTGTTCATATTCCTTGTCTAGTTTCTGTCGGAGTTCCTCCATCTCTGCTTTGAGTCTTGTCTCAAGCTGCTGCAGCTGCTTCTGATGAAGTCTCCTCATTCTCTTGTAACCTGTGCATATAAAATACAATGGGGACGTGTCACTCAAACTAGTTGATAATCCAATTTTCAGCCTCCAATCTCGTACTGGATGCTGTACAACTTGTGTCTTTTTAGCTGCCACACTAGAAACATGAAGAACTGTTCCCTGTTCCTTAGATGTATGCCTAAGTGCATGCATATGTACACATCACAATTTTACGTTGTTCATTACTGAATTTGCATTGACAATATTAAAGCATATTCCAGTGAAACTGTGAGAAACATGACTAGGTTAGGTGCCAGGAAACCGCTGCAGGTTGGGGTTGCTAACCATCCAATATGACAACAGCATGGTAGGCAACTGTTGTTGGTGAATAATGAATAAACATTTTGCCAATGTTAGAAGGTCCAAGTCAGATGGATGATTTTGCTGCAGAGAGTCGTGGGATGTTCCCATGGGACCACAAAAAGGACGAATAGAAATGTAGGATGTCAGAGGAAAAAAACGAATCCTGTTCTTGCTTTCTGTTTTCCTCACCTGTGACTTGTTCACGCATCTCACTCTCATGTTCCTTAGCCTGCCTTGTCACAATACTTGTCGGTCGAATGGTTTTAAATTGGTCTTCAAGATTATCTGGACCATCTGCATAGCTGCTGAGGCTTGTACCACTTGACATCTGCAAGAAACCACCAATCAGAATCCAGTGCTCATATGGAATTCTCCGGGAGATGAGACAGGTACACATACCTCCATTCCCAAAATATACATGTAGAATGAATATCAACTGCAAGCCTGGTAGTCTCCTTCAAAGACATGTACCTCTCTGCTATCTACAGAGATATCATTTGCATTGAGAGTCTTAACATTTTCCCACAATACAACAAACGTGTCTTAAGATTTGAACCACCAGTGGCAACGTTTCAATATTGTGAATCATATTGGGACTACATGGCATGGGTACTGTTGACAGAAATATTCTTTGATGTGTGTTGAAATGTATATACTGCAGCAGTAACTATTCATTACAGTGGAAAAGTCAAAACTGACAAGAACAAAATTGGAAGCTTTTATCACCAAATTTTGTGATAAAAGGATTGAAAGTAAAAGTTCTTTGAAAGAAGACAAGTAGACATACGCAACATGCAGTTGCAATGATTCATTCCTAAAGCCAACAACTGTGCTACATGTTCAACAAAAGTCAAATGTGAACAAGAACTGCCAGCAGCTGCCAAAAAAGAAAAATGCAAAAGATACATATACCCTGTGGTTCTGTATCCAAATAGAGAAGCTTCACCTTAGCACAAACACAATACAAAGATGTAATGGAAGCAGATGTATTAGCAGTAAGTATCAAACCAAAGTAATGCCTACAAATGGACAAACACCCACAAGATGACATAGATGACAAGGGCATAACGTCCAACAACAGAGAGATTTTAAAAAAGGAGACAGGCCATTGTACATATACTTAGGCCCAAAAAAATTGTTCTGCTTCCGATTAAATTCCGATCTCAAAAAAGGTACGATAGGTGGGAAATTTTTTTAGTCAATTCATTTGGTGCTGATTGAATGGCATGAATGGGGACAAAGCTACCAAAAATTGCCTCAAAATGCTAGTCAGGTTACCACAACGGCGGACAGGCCAACAATATGCATGTATCGTATGGTAAGCGTCCATGATGCATCCAGACAGCTGGGCAATAAACCTCGCAACACGACAGGAGATTTTGCAGAAGCACACTCGCTTCAAGTACGAGCAAAACAACCTCAAATTTAACTCATGAACATAGAAAATGCACACACAGACAACAGACTAAGTTCTGTGATTTAACTTGGAGAAATCTTCTTGCAACATCGATGGTTTTTGGTGAATAGTTGTAGGGCTGCGTGTGCGTACGGTCAGAGTATTGTGTACTGACACCATTAGTATAAACTGGTTGCCACATTTCCTTCCTGCATTCTTTGCATGGGCACGGCACAGCAGGAACCAGCGCAGCATTGCTTTAATGCATTAAGCTTTATGCACGTGTTTTCACCACTGTGACAGCGAAACGCCAAGGGAAACGGAACGGAAGTTTCTCTTCAAAAGTTGCAAATGTAGGCCGGAAAACATATAAAAAATGTTTCAACATGAAAAGAGGTTGTTCAGAGGTGATCTGTAAAGACAACAGGATGTATAAAAAATTTTAAGGTCACGCTGACAAATTAGGGTCGGTAGGGAAACTAGGAGCAGAAGTATATTTTGGTGTGCCATATTTTCCATCTCTAAAAACCCTTCACACTTCTAGGTTTTTTGCTACATTCCATACTGGTACATTGTATGTACGTAGCCTTATGTAAACTGGTAATGCATTTCTGCACGCTCTACAAAACTGGGCATGTACAGTACACGTACATGTGTATATACATAAAAGGATTTGTTTACTATGGGGCGAACACAGAAAGCAGCTGAAGTCATGAAAATATAGTCATATTTCTGACAGTGTACAAATCCATACTGTACATTTGTGGTCTGACCAGTTTATGTACTGGTACACTCAGGTGTGCACCCTGCATACTGCACTCAAAATTTGAGAAAATCTTGGGAGTCCTGCTTATGTACATGTATGTAAGAGACATGTATGCTGAACGTCCCTGACATATGCAATGAAATCACACAATCAGAAATAACATGCTCTTTCTGTTCCTGGAGAGTGAAGACAGAAAAAATCACAAGCTTGGTACTTCACTCAACTGATGAAAAATTGGGTACCAAAAGAAAGGCACAAAGGGAATAATCAAACACCACAACACTAGGGACTTAGTACTTGGCCTTCCTATGATACGGACATTAATAAAGAATAAATACATGTATACCAATACAATAACTATGACCAAAATATTACATGTAAGTACATGTACGTGTAGTCTAATTCCATTCCATCTGGTTGTACATCTTGACATGATTACCAATATATATATATGCATGGAATTCAGAATGATCTGTTTGAAGCACAAATACCAACAGCACAGTAAATTATACATACAACAACATTAAGATGTTGAAACCACACAGCTACATGTACAAGTGGGAGGAGAAAGTGGTACATGTACATTCAACCAAAATATCAAAACAAGTGACAGACATACACTAAATGTAAGTGACAGACGTACACTAAATGTATTATTGTAATGAGGCATCAACAAGATGTGTGATGATCTTTAAATAGATAACGGTATTCTTGACACCAAAGCTTAACACAGACAGATCACCATACACATTTGAACATCACAGCATGCAACTCAGCTGGACATTCATAGCACTGACACCAGCACATGAATATGCAGCATGCACCATGTTACCCAGCATGCCCTAGATTTCCCCCTTTCATGCAAACCATCATTAGCCACATGCCGGAGTGCAAGGTCGTGTCAGCGGTCTGGTACCTTTCTTCTATTCCCCCGATAGCCCATCTTCATGGCATAGTTGGCGTGATTACTGGGCCCTTTCAGGGAGTGATAGCCCAGGGATATGTCCTGGGCCTTGCCCAGAGTTAGGTCTTGGGCAGAGCTGTAACCGGAGTGCATGGGTGGAAGACCACTGTATGCTTGGCAGTAGTAAGGATGCTGGTTGGGAAGGAGGGGGGGAAGGGAGTGTTGAAGACGACAATGGAATGATTAAGATGATGTGGGTGATAATGAAATGATGCTCACATTAATTACATGTACCTTACAACTATTATATAAAAAAAATAAGTAACACATGGGCCAAATGCAGCAGTAAAGGAAGGCTCAAATGGCATGTGCATCAATATTACTTTGTCCTTACAAATTTTTGTTCTCATGTTTCAAACAATTTATCAATCATTGAAAGAAATATAAATTTAACACTACCATGCAAATCCAAACAGATTTGTCGTTTCAAGTTTTCAGAAAAAAAGACTGTCTCCCACCCTCTAAAATCCTTGACATGTTCAACAGGTGCACACTTTAATTCAAAAACTAATTTACTTAGTACACTACAAACTGTAGCCAAGAGAAATCTAATTCTACACATTAGTTTGTTTTCAAGGATTGCTCGCAGTAAGTCACATCAACCATGTGCCCTTACACTAAATTGAATCAGAAACTCCAGGCATCAACCAATCAGAGCACAGATCCAAATAACACATTGCGCAAGTGAGCGACTGAAAAAAGCAGCTCCAACAAATGTGACTTCAGCGCAATTTGCAAGATAGTAACAAGTCATAAGAACCTACCGGTGCAAACACATGTTCAGTTCCTGCCAATCTACAAGTATCTGTGCTCTGGCCCATACAACACTGCACCTGGTTCCAACTAAACATGCTTGCTCAGGTCAAAATTCATTCAGGAATAATTATGTAAGTATTGTCATGCAACACCAATGTTCACGGAGCCTCCCATCATCTATGTGTACAACACCTATCTCTGAAATAAATAGATTTGTTTGGAAACTTTAGAACATTTTGCACACTTAACGACTGTATTTACATGTAAACAAAGTAAATAATGATTCTTACGGCAACAGTTTATGTACCATATATCTAAAGTTGTTAAAGTCTTAAAAACAATGCTACTGGGGAACACATATGTATATTTCATATTTGACCCTCCAAAAGTAGCCATTGAAACTGTTCCTTCTTTAATGTGTACATAACTTGCAACAGCGTATTTCATTACTGTACCCCCGTAGGATGTAAACTGGTGGATTTGTCATACATGTATGTTTCTGATTAATCTGTACAGAAAAATGGTTCCTGCAATGCTTGATTTCTGGTTACTAGCCACATACATGGATACAAAGCAATGCACACACCCTAGAAATGCAAAGGGTTTTTATAGTTAAAAGTTAACACAAAACCTGACTGCCTGACTTACACTGAAATACATGCCATCAATGGTACCCAGTAAGACAACCAACCTCAACAGGCTAGAAACATATGTTCAACTAAACTACATGGAGACTACCTATCACAAAGGTATATCCCACATGACTTGGTTCTGCCACATTCCTCAGTGAAACTTCCTCAACTAAATGTCCAGAACACTCAGCAACTCGGGCAGGAAAATGATTTGAGGAATTAACCAGTTGGTGAACATTGTCAGGGATCAATACCTAAAATCACTCCCTGTCTGGTTTTCTAAGTCTCTCAGACATTTTGACCTAAATCAGTCATGCTTTGTCAAAGGTAGAATAATTTTGAAGTTTAAAGAATTGAATGATACCCCAAATGATTTTAATGGCAGATTTTGAAAAAAAAGGAGCAAGCATTCAACATGAATTACACGTCCAGCAGCTTCCATCTTCCTAAGAAAGTGAGCAAGATCTTACTGAAGGAGTGAGTAAAAAAACCTACCCTAATTTTAGCTGTACTCACCCTAGAGTCCCTTGAGAAGCTATCAAACTCCGCTGATGGACCTGGAAGACTGTTGATGCTACCACAATTACTGCTACTTTGGATGCTATCCTGTATGCTGTGTTGGCTACCTATACTGTTGCTCCCACTGGCTTTGCCACCAAAGACATCATCTCCCTGTGAGAGGGGTAGGCAGAGATGAGAATGAATGATTTGTCTACGGAGCATGAGCTACGCTTGTGGTTTTTTTTCACAAGCCTTCGCGGGCAGACACTGAGTATGCACTGTTATAATAATCAGGCAGGGCAAAAAAAATTCCAAATTAATTACATCTCCCCAGCACAAATCCATCCTTGGCAACCAATACCTGTTAAAATGCACAGTCTTCGTATGTGCACCAGGCACTTAGTTAAAACAGTTCCGACCATTTCTTTTCTCTGCCACTGGAGAAATACCGCCACTCAGTACAAATACATGTATGTACATGTAATGTGGACAGCTACAGAGAACTACAACAATTGAACTCATACCGTGGGAAGCAAGAAAGGCTTGATACAAGTATGACACTTCAAGAACACCAGGAAATACTGCTGGAACAAACCATTTCTCGGTTCTAATGGGCAATAATGAAAGTCGACTAAAACCTGACAGAGCAACAGTATCACTTTCAGTAACCCTGGCAGCAATTATCACATGACATTTCACAGAAATCAAAGCGTGCAACCTTTGTAGCCATAAGCCTTGTTCTCATGGAAACAGTCCCACCACCAAACTGGATGTTACTCATGGATCTATCCTCTGTCTTCTGAATTCAAGACTACTCTTTCCTCTGAGTGCCTTCCAGGTCTGTACAGTGTGAGTAACTTTCCAGGAAACAGCAGGTTGTGAGAGTGCACTGTTCCCAGGGTCGTTCCTAGGGCCTCCAACACGGCCTTTAACATGCCTGTATGCATTTGAATCACTTTCCTTCCAATTGTCTGTGGTACATGAATACTGCCATCAAGCTAGCAGAAGTCCTGCTGTACTACATCCTTCCTGTTTCAGCACCATGGACGTGGAGCTGCATGTATACAGTCACTATTACTCTTCAATAACCACTTGATTGCATGTGCAATCACACAGACTTTGGACTCCTTGAATCACTACATGTTCTTACAGGGAAATTTTTATAACAGGTGCTTTTTGGTTTTACTTTAATATTAAAAAGGGTTTTCATCATGAACATATGACACAAAATTGTGTTATTTATTGGGTATCTCATGGGTCACAGGCATATTTGACCCTGGGAAAAAAATAGGAAAAAGCTCCCTGCAAATCTCCAAAAGTATGACTAAAGTACAGAATACTGGCAAGCAAGGAAATAACAAAAAAGAGAAAAGAAGTCTGAAATCCTATCAATAAAGAAAGATATCATGCCCAGGGTTATCTTTGCACCGTTATGCACAAACGGCCACTGTAGGACCCAAGTTGTGACAACAGCCCCATCAATCACCCAAACATTGGCAGTCAAATGAACCACTGATCTAACCAGCCAGTTCAACACCACACCACTCACAAAGAGGTTCCTGTTGGATAGGCCTATTTCCAGTTTCTATCAGTGACCAGCCTGTTGACCTCGTTGCATGCCCATACTTCCTGATTGCATTGCAACTGTCATCACCTGAGCATGTATACGGCACTTGTCCAACAGATGGATGTTGGCACAGAGACTAAGGCTTACCAGTTATTCCCATATCAGCCCTCCCCTCCCCCATATTCATACATCCCCAGGGAAAGGAGTTCATGAAATGCTCGGATTAACTCCACTACCTCAACCGTCAGAACTGCTTCATTCTTGCAAGCTTATTCTGCAAACTTTAACAATTCACCACAAGGCATGTTGAAAATATATGTGTTTAACCATGTTTGGAGAATGCATTGGGGGCACTGTGACAAATATCCAACACAGGCAAATTGAAACCTTCAACCAATTTTTTTTTAAATGTCTGTTGAGGAGTCTCAAAAGTTGCAAATATGACTCTGTGAAGTCTGTCTCCTTTCAGATTGTAAATAGGCAGTGTCTCTTCATGCTTTAAAAATTACATTTACATATCCTAGCTACTCACGGCTTCAGTGAACCAATCGCCTTTGGTATCACTGATCAAGTTTCTCATGAGTGTCATTCCACAGCTACTCACCAACTCACTGACTCCATCTTTAGGGTCTTTTTCCCTTCCCTCCCCTTTGGTACCACTGATCAAGTCTCTCTTGAGAACCATTCCATAGTTACTCACCGACTCACTGACAGAGTCACTGACTCCATCCTCAGGGTCTTCCTCTCCTCCGTCCCCTTTGTTGAGATTGAACGTTTCTGTCATGAGAATTTTCCTCATCTTACGATAGTTGATGTTGTCTAGTTCCCGGACTATTCGCCGTGTTCTCTCAATCAGATCTAGGATGACACTGTTGACCCGATCCCTTCGAATGAACTCGTTCTATGAAAGTAATAGACAATGATGTCACTATGGACTGATTAGAAATGTATCATGAGCTAAATAGGAAACACAATTTAATAATTCTCTGATGGGCAGAATGAAGGTAATGGGCAGTTTGTTGGGTGACCTCTTTATCAAACTTATTTCTTGATCATTTGATCTATTACCCACCTTGCTATGTGGCTCTTATTCATACAATTTCAACACATTCTAACACATTCTGAGGGGACACTGAAATTGTTCACAGAGGTTCAACACCACGAGGGGACACTGGAATTGTTCACAGAGGTTCAACACTACGAGGGGACACTTGAATTGTTCACAGAGGTTTAACACCATGAGGGTAACAGTAGGAGCATTTAACCAAATAACTTTTTGAGTTTTTTTCAACAGAAACATTTGGCAATGCTGTGGGAAGAAAGTGAAGTGAAAGTTGAGATACACCACGTTAGGGGACTCTACTATACCAACTCAGCTACCAAACTCTACACTGGCAGTTGTTCTCTTTGTTTAGGAGGCAAAAGTCATAATGCTCGACACACCATATTGCCCAAACAAATGATGAAACCATCATGACTGGGATCACTCAAGAGGATACAGCTTTTTTCTTCTTGTAGAAAAAAAATCCAACAAATCATATGAGGCGTGTAACCAGGTGCATACATATTAATTATAAGGATGAACAAAGAAACTGATTTTTAATTTCAAAAAGTAGTTTATGTATGTAGCACAGTGGACAAGTAACTGCAAAAGAACTAAGGTTAGGACTGGCACATGTACACTAGAAACAACTGACAAGACAGCTTATGGGAGGTGTAAAAATGCATATACATGTAAAAGGAAAAACTTAGATGTAAATATCAGAAAGGCCATTCAAAAAGACATACAAAAAAGGGTCAAGAAGCTTTGCATTCCCTGATCTTTGTCTATTGCAATGCTATGTGAATCTTATATTATTGTTTGCCTTGCGCCTGACTTACCGCACATAACTGTACTGCTGTGGGTCTGTGCTCAGGATCTTTGGCAAGGCAAGTCTCCACAAAAGACCGGAAGGCACTGGACCACTCGGTGGAGTTTGCTAGACTCGGTGGGTCATTCTGAGCAATGTGGTACAGGGCACTCATGGCATTCATGTTGAACAAGGGAGGTTTCCTCTCCGCTGTCAAAGGACATACAAATACACTTGTGCTTCAACCCTACACATAAAAACTACACGAATTTGGTGACATCAAGACAGCACATGTAGGCTGACCTCTGACCATAACTGGAATTACACAAAATCGGCAGGAACACCTGCAATGATATGCTCAACTATTAAAAGCACAGTGACTCCATTTCCAATTACCACTTCAATGGTGAGAGCAAGATGACAGAATGGCAGACACTATGCTGGTTAGTTTACAGGATTCAGTGGTGATACAATCTACAAATGTTTGCCTGTATGTGTAGGGTGGGATGACTTGACATAAGTGTGCCGGCATGTGTCCAATGGCTAAATGTATGCATACATACACACACATCCCTTGTAGTCAAATATTTGATCACGTAAATTGACTCGCAAAATAGCAGCCATAAAATGAGTCTCAATGAACTCAACATAAAAGTGGCATTGTTACCCCCTTGACGCCGGGACTTTTTTCTGAAAGCCGACTCAGAGAATTCCATCCTCGCTTGGCCATGAAGGCCACCTGCCAAACCACAAATTCTTGGTTTGTGGCCCTCGTGCTCTGCATGCTTTGATTTGCACAGTGAAATGGCTCATTGTTCGGTAGCATGTGGCTCTATTCACGCTTCCACATTCCCGTTGCCTCTTTTCAAAGTGGAGACTATTGTGAAGCTGGTGATTATGATGCAAATTCAGCCTTTTCATTTCTTAGCAACACACAAAGGCCAATCACCATATATACAAGAGCCAGGGTATGCCTTCTTTCACGGTGTTTGCTCGAGCGTGGGCCGAGAATAATAGCTGAAAAACGGGCTAAGGGATCTCAATTTTTAAGGCGGCTCTTACCGCTTCGCAGTGCGAAAGGGTTGATACACCACAGCATCTAATGCTGAGTTCATCATTAGCAATGACAAGACGACTCATACAACATTGGTCATGCTGACAATGGTCAAGGATTTTTCATGTGGAACATGCACGTTAATCCGTAAAGGTGGAAATTTCACAGAAATATGGCACATCTATGCTTGTCATGTAGAAGCGACATCATGTGTGCAGCTTTAGGGCGGGAATTGTAAAGAGTCCCCGCTGTGTGGTGATGTGTAATTTCCTTTTTGTTCTGGAGATTGGCCCAATGCATTTCTGACAAGTGGTGTTGTCTGTACTAACGTGGCCAGATTCCATGAGCATCCAGCAGTATTGTATCACTCATTGCTGGAGTGCTGGAGCACTTTTGTCCCCGCTGATAATCCGTGGGCACTGGCAGCAGCAAACAATGGTACATTGTTTCAAAACAATGACGAATTACCTCCACAAAAAATGGCCAGAACTCTGCAGAAAGCATATGAACAGTGACTGGCAAGTCCCAGCAGCTGACTGACAGCAAGTAAACTTTTTCTAAAAACCCCGAGCAACTTTATTTTTCTTTATAAAGCAATTCCGATTTCAGGCACCCCTGCCATGTGTATATGGCCAAGGTCTCCGGTATTGGGCTCCCTGGCAGGAAGTGGTTAAACCCCCCTCTCTGTTACTGAGAGCAGGTACTTGCACACAGTATCAACAGGCATTTAGCCTTTGAGATAAGGCAGTTACAAAGGGACTTACCTAGCTCAATACATGTGATTCCTAGTGACCAGATGTCCACTTTACCATTGTACTGACCTTCGTCCATTGCAAGAATTACCTCGGGAGCCATCCTGCAACACAAAACATGCAAAAAAAGTTCTTTACACACATGGGTAGTGGGAAATCTCTGACTACCAGTCTTGGGAGCTCCAGAAGACAGGCAGTACACGTGTGTCATTTTAACAAGCCTCCAAGGAACAGATCAGCTGCACTGATGCCATACACCATTCAAGAACCTAGTGATTCATCATCTTTGACATCAGGATGTGGTTGAGTTGGACATTGTTGTGCGTGGTGTTAGACCACGTTAACTGCACACATACCTGGATTTCTTCATAAATAGGCCACTTGATAGTTAGTTTCCATGCTAACCAGTCACCTGATGGCCAGTCACATGGTGGCCAGTCACATGGTGGTGTCTGTTTCTACAAGGTTTCCAGTTTGAATCATGTGACTTTCATTATGTATCTGATTGTTGTTACATAAACATCCTGTCTGGTGGAATTGGGATGTTATCCCCACACCTTCCTGGTGAAATCGGATCCGGTGAGCTCCGATGCAAAATTAAAACATGTTTGGTTTCATCCATTTGTCTGGTGTAGGGTCAGATCAATCTGATTTTTGAGTGCACACCTCTGTCTGCATACTCACCAGGACCCAGTGGTCCAGTGAACCTGTCAAATTATAAGGGTGTATGATGGACTTTGGCTAACGTATGATATTGTCAGTACTTTGTGAATGATTCGTTCCTTCCATAAACGTTATAAATGGTCCATTGTCAAAATGCACAGAAGAAACTGTCATTACTCACCAATATGGAGTACCTACAAAGGAGTTGGCAGGACTTAGAAAAGATGCAGACCCAAAATCGGCTGTAATCAAATGAAGGACAGGAACCAGTGAGCGCAGAAAGTTCAACACTTTGAAAGAGAGACATCATTTGTTCTATACACAAAAGCTAATGTGTACAATGTTGCCACATTCTGTACACTTTGGGCAGTTAGAGCCCCTTTCCTGCTTATTCCTCATTGTGCTGAATCAAACAGGATCAAACAGCACACAGTATTTTCTTGATCTCAGTAAACAGTCTGCTCAACCTAGGGAAGTTACAGTGTGTTCTTTGCTACAGATGGTGCTAGAGATGGTCAAGGTTTTACTTCATGGGGAAAGCGGTCTCCATTAGGATAAGCTTATGGGAAGGCAATGGCTGTTTACACTGGAAAGTTGCTGTAAGTATACCTAGTTTGACCGTGCCATTCTCTGTGAGTAGTATATTGCCTGCTTTCACATCTCTGTGTATTCGCTGATTACTGTGTAGATAGACTAGTCCGTTCAGAGCATCTTCACATATCGCAGCGATTTCATCCTCTTGTAAGGGCTTTTTATGAACTGTAATGAAAAGCAAATGAAGACAAGTATGATCAATTCACAAAAAAGAGAGAGAAGATATCAATTGAGTCCCCAAAATGGATGTAATTGCTAAAATTGCGAAACTTATGAGGCAATACTTAGCATTTCACACCACATTACACAAAATTTATGTCCGATACTGCAAGAATTTACTTGAAATGAATTCACTTATATTTACTGCCCACATGGTGAGTGCAGTCAATGGGAATGTCAGCCTCATCTAACACCAATCTTGACACCAAAGCAAAATTCCAACAACATTACTTGTTTCTCCTTTCCATTTCAACAGGCTGTTGTGTGAAGTGGTACCTTTTTGAGTGTGACACTGGTGACTTTGCTTCCAAATTAACATAAAGCACACCACTATACTGTACATTTATTGTATTGCAATTATTTCGACATTTACCATGAACACCTTAGTAGTGTCATTGTATATTATAAGTTTTGATTTTTACACACTTGGTTAAGACTGTCAAATTTTGAAGTGGAATCTCAAAATGTTATACATATACTTTTTCCTATTCATGTCCAGATCTAACGACCCAATGAGAACATTTAAATATGCCTTGACTTTTCTTGCCTAATACCAGTACATGCAAGGCCACCATGCCGGCTTGGGCCATGTATAGGTTCAACTGTAAAGGACAGATTTATGGAAGTACTTACCTTCTATAATATCTGAAGCCGATCCTAAACAATACTCCATAGATAGCTACAAGAAGACAACAAAAACATATCCTATTGTTAAACAAAATACTGTTTAAAACAGATCAAGTAAAGAGCACATTGATGGCTATATTTGACAACTTATAATCCAAAATGTGCACTTTTTAAAAATTGAATAATGACCCAGCTTTTCCAGAAAAGCAAAGGCACTGTTTGTGTGATGTAAATCCATTATAATACTGTTCAGTATACAAGTTTTTATGTTCAAATTTTGAACCCAAAATTTGCTCTTTGAAAACATTTATGAGAAAAGGTTGCTTGCTGGCTTATTACCATATACTTATACAACAACATTGCCAAAGGAAATGAAAATCTTCATTAGTTGGTGTACAAAAAAATTGTAATTTTTTGTATACAAATCAATGCAACACTGAGTTAGCGCTTCGGATTACAATGTATATCCCAGTTTTGCTTGTGAAAATACAACTTCATATTATCATAAAATAAACAGAAAGGTGCAATTTCAAGGATTTTAGTTAAGAATTTCTACTACATGGTCTCTTTGAGGGATGTATTCAATCCACTGATTTACTGGACAGCCAAACAATGCATTGACTGTTCAATGCCACTGTCTAGTAACCCCCTTAAGTAGAAGCACCCTCTCATTGGTTGAAAAGAGCCATGCTGGTGGGAAATGTTCATTTTGTTGATAGTGACTCAAATGTAACACCTGTATTTCATAGTCATTTGTGAACCAGTAAAGTGCAGTTCCCACCAAAGAAGCCTCCGTTGCTAGGAAAATCGCACCCTCTCTTGGCTTCGCTCAGGGCCTAATGAATAGGTTGAGTTAATATCAATCCGTTGTTGAATTTACCTTTTCATACTTCACATGTACAAATACTTGTGAAGCCTGAAGAGCATTTACACTTGTTTAAACACTTGGCTACTGAGTTGTTCAAACATTGGAGTCAAACAACACTGAAGATGGACACCCAAAGAGTGTTCTGTTCATGCACACATAGGATGTGCTCATATGCATTTAGAGTCAAGGTGACTGCACTCTTGCACAAATTTTAAAAGACTGTATTTCTTGCAGAGTTTATACTTTGATACAGGTAGATGTGACAGGAAAATGCAGTGCTGCATTCACAGTGAAAAATGGAATACAGGAAGAGTGAATGGCCTAACTTCAGTCTGTAACTTGTTATACACGTATAAAGATTTAGACGCAGGCCTACATGTACTGGTACATATATTTATAAATTTAATGCATATAAGAGTGATGACTTGTTCTTCACATCTTCAGAAAGGTCATGGCATTAGGTTTCTTTGTTAACATGGAAATGAAGTGATGATTCCATATTGCCAGGCCATATAAGCTACCACTGCCCAGATTTGTTTGTAGGAAAACTGCAGGGTGCAGAGGATTCACTACCACAACTAAAAAGGGAAGTGGGATTTTTGCATTCTGCAAGCAAATATCTGCATGAAGCTGGAAAGAGGAAATACCAGCCGGTATTGAGGGAGGAAGGAAAGGAAGGGTGGAGTCCCACCAGGAATAACCCACCACCAGCTGTAGGGAAAGTAGCAGGGCAAACAGCCACTTTGGTACATGTATTTCAAAAAGGTGAGGTCATATGGGGAACAAGGCATGCAAGCTGAACATGTCCAGTGCACTGCCATGCTGACAGGGCCCACCTTGTGCATCAATGCTGCTGTTCTCTAATGGCTTACTGACATGACATGGACATGTACCTGCTGTTAGGATAGTGACCAGGCCAACTAGCAGTTTATAGCACTCGGCACACTGGTCAGTGTCATGTAACATGCTACATGGAACAAGATAACAATCGCGATTCGTGTGTATTGGAAGTCAAGCAATGTAATAATATGAAAAAAGGCCTGTTTGCATCATTGTCTCAGCTATCAGTGTTGAAAATCAACAAATCAAATCATATCATAATCAAGTCCACTGTGAGTGTACCATTATCAGATTGGAGAAAGCTTAGCAAGGTACATGTACAAGTACATTTACACCAAGCAACCATTCATACTTATGCCGATTTGTATATGATTCAGCTCAAATACATGTGCATGTATTCCCTAGGACAGCACTGCCCCAATCCTGGTCCCAAACAGAAGCCAATTTTACCAACATACATACATCTACATAGACTGGACAATGGGATTGTCAAAACTAAAGCTTTGACCTGACTTCCAAAAGCTATACACATATTGGCTAGAGTGAAAAGGGCTGATAATTTAAGGGTCCGTTACAAAATGCAAGTGTTAATATCAAAAATTGACAAGAATTCTACAACTTATTGATACGATTGTCGTACCAGGCCTTTGAGGCTTTGTCATTTTGTGAAATACAACTAGAAACAGAATCAAGACCTGCCAATGCTACATCACGCAGAACACTGCCAATTTCACTGGCTAGGAGATAATGCAAAGACTCACTGAAATGCACAGATATTGGACTTCCTTTTCATCATATACTCATGCATCTCACATGTAAGCTACACAGAATGCAGAATTTGTATTCAATTCAAAGCAATCTATCCCACTTCATCTCCTTCTCCATGATCCCTTTCTATTCAATTTCATTAATGACAAACAGTGTCTGTATTTGGGGCTTCAGTCATTTCAGCATGCATGGCAAATGTGACACTGATACCTTGCGATGAGCTCTGCCTAGATTATGTGCATACTGTTTTGCCATCAACATTTTTTATCAACTTCTCTCTATGTATCACTTTCCTGCTAAACCCATATGTAGATGTACACGCACACACACATATCGCGGTGTACTTTCTAGAAAATGGAAGTGATGTACATGTACACGTCACGCATTATTGACATTAAGTCAACCAAATAAACCAAGCTTTACAGTTTTCCCGATAATTCATTTAAATCTTGTTTTTAGAGTTGATTATTTTATATTAGAGTGTGACACAGCTTTCTTTAATGGTACAGGAAAACGTTATGATGCACTAAAGTTAATTTGTTTTTGAAAACCTCTGTACTGTGCAAAGGATTTCAGGTCTACATGTAGTTCAAATATACATTCATGACACCGGTATATGTGTCACACATATACTGTCATCATATAATAAAGGTGTGTACAATATGAAACAGGGAGCAGTTATCCAAACAAAATTCTATATCCTCGAAAACCTGTATGTAAATGCACAGTGGTACTGCGTTAATAAATCCTTGTGTACTGTTTGACAGGATGCACTCAGTGAAACCTGATAACAAACTCCATGCAACACAGGTTCTTCCTCCGCTAATGTGGTTCATGTGTAACTGCCTTGATGCATGTCACTTATGCGTACAATGCAATAAAATACATACTTGCATACATACCAGTAAATTTCTGTCTGTACATTGTACTGTGCATGAATACAAGTTGCCATGTACATGTACAGTGTACATGTTCTAAGCACTGTACTAACATGTGCCTGTTCATATTCACTGTATACATGTAATTGTACATAAACTTTTAAAAAACCATGAAACTTGAAATACACAGCGAGTGTTGACTGTCATAGCCACTGTGTTATTGTTTTCAGTTACATCCTCAAACTTTAAGCTGGGACATGTTTTTAACCAACTTTCATTTCATTTCTATGTTTTGGTGTTTCGTTATTTTCTTTTCTATTGTATTCATACGTTTCCAAGTCCTTTTACCTTGTGCACTTTCGTGGTTTCAATTCTTGCTTTTAAAGTAATGTTAGTAGTACTTTAGTGTAATGCTCATTTGGTCACTGTTATGGAGACCATGCAATACAAATTTTAATTTATTATCATTTTTTCTACAACAACATGTACTGGGTTGAGTTTCATGATGCTGATAAGCACACGATTTAATGCTAACAGATGCATACATGTACCTAGACATGTACATGTATTTCATGGTGGTCACAAGCAGAAGGCAAAGCAAAAAGCACACTGCTTACTTTGGAGGAACTTAACATAGTAACAAAACAATGGAAAATGCAATTGTTAGCACCACCACGTTGTGCTTAAGATTAGCAGATTTTCCACTATAGTAAACACAACTACATGTACAGTACACGTACTCTTCTCAACATCATGCAATGCCATGAAATTGGGCCCTGCATTGGTGCCACAACAGTTGCCACCCTGCATTATGTAAATGAACACAAACCTGCATACACGAACATGTTCTTTTTGGGGGGGGGGGAAAGTCAGCCAACACAAGGCCCCAAGAGGCCACTCAGGGTGAAAGCTAAAGAGTAAAGTTAAAGCAGAGAACTGAAAGCATAAGACATTAGAAGGAAGAAAGTTCTTTGTCTCACTGCTCCAGTTTCTATGTCAAACGTTACATACATTGTACATGTACTCCAAACAGTCTTTCTCTGCACAATGAATATACATGAAAACAGTTCATGTCTAACACTAAAATTCTAACCTTCTGGAATCTCACAACATTTTGACAAGTCCTTTACTACATGTAGTACACATGTATGTACATGTCCTTGTATGTCCTCCCTTATGGCTGGCATAATTTAAACCAGACGTGCCAGATTTGCTTCAGGTTATAATATAACCACAACAAGAAACTACAACCAAAACTATAAAAAGACATCAGTGTAAACATTTCAGCATTTCTCAACACATTTACATGTGACATATCAGTAGAACTGAACTGATACATGTACATGTCTATTATACAAACCAAGACAGGTACTTCTTAGTTTGACTAATCAATGCGGAAACAAGACCAGAAATGGAATGAGAAAATAAAAAGAAATCAAAATACATGATTAAACCAGTCAAGTCAAAGCCCAAGACTCTAACATCATGCCCATGATAAATTACCTTGACCTTAACTTTGGTTCTGTTCTGGACTGAGTGCATTAATGAGCAAAGACATGACTTGCAGATAAAGCCAGCAAGAATGACTTCATGCTACTGTGTAGTGTAGAGGATATCAGTGTTAACGGTGCATCTCTTCTGTGTTGCTATAACACACGATTTGGGTCATTTAGGGGCAGTCAGTGTTTCAAAATTATGTAGATACGTACCGGAATTACAAAATGGCCTGTGAGATTTCACTGATTTTTCAGTTGCAGTACGGCCTGCAAGATAATTACAAATTTGGCATGTTGCGGTTGTGTATCACCTTAGCATATTTATCATTCAAGTTACTTCTCCTTTGATGTAGTGTAAGCTCTTGATTTCTATCCATAATTTCATGCGTCCATGAAATGTGATTACATGTAAGTAATTTCCTGGTGAACAGACTTTTTAAATGGAAATTTCACATGACACATTGTTAACTTCTAAGTGCATAAAAATTCATGCACAGAAAAACTTCCCCAGTCATGTTTAAAAACTATTAATACTTGCGTGTCTCCAGAGATGTGTTCAATAACTTGCAAGAAACACAACTACTAAAATGATAAATATCTTGGGCATTAATTTACACTTTCAGTACATTTTTGCAGCTTCACTTTCAAAATAACATACATTTATACTGCTCAGCCAGCATTCTTACATGCTTATTTTGTTAGGTACAGTCGCATTGGTGCCAAGAAACTAAATCATAGGTTTTATCCATCACATGGAACCCACCCAACCGGTTTTGCAATCCAGACAATGAAAGTGAGTTCATTTTTTTTGTCTTTTAACCATGCAAGTTTCAATGAAAGTTCAATGTAAATATCAGCAGATGACAAATCACCTTCAAAGAAGAAGTTTCTCTTTTAATCCAAAGATGCGATCAGAGATTTGATTTTTGAATAGGACAGACAGCATCCGTACGGACAAAATTTCTGAATATTCTGCACAAAGTTTGCAAATTCTGAACTTCAGACATTACCCGTGACAGAATTGGACAGCTTACTGGAAGACTTCTTCAGAAATGTCAACACCTCCAACCAACTACTTAGTTTAGTTGAATTTGTTCAACTAAACACTATTTTGAAGACAAGAATCTCAGTGAAAGGCATCGTTCTGCAATAAAATATATTTCACTTACTACTGTTCCCTGAGTATTTGTATGATGTATCACTTTGGTTTAAACAAAACTGTTGCCAACTATAATGAGGTCCATGGGTTTTGTACACCTTCAGAGGCAAATGACACCCTCAGCCTTATTCTCATGTGCCATTTGCCCCCTTGGGTGAACAAAACACCATGGACCCCTTCAGAGCAGGTAACAATTTTAGAGTGTGATGTCAAAGTCTTATCACGGATCAATTTCTTTGATGGTGACCTGGGCACATCAGTCTCAGGGATTTACAGTCTCAACCAGCCAGTCTGAAAACACTACACCATGCAACTTAATGTATGGAAGGAAAGCCCTGCAGATGGCATGAGACACCGCTCTTCATCAAATGTAACCCAGATTGGTCATTCCTCGCTCCAACAAGATGGTGGAAGATACTTCATTCTTCACCATTGTAGAATCAACTGCCGGTTGACGTCAGTAAAGCGATGACTACTGAAGTCTGAAAGTGCCTACTCAAAACCCAAGTATGTCCTAATGTATGATTATGTTATTGATGTTTTTGCTTATGTTTCATTTTAATTTTTTCAGCAACAGTTTGCTTTTTGTATAAGAGAAGTTATGCTTTGTAGGCCGTCAAATAAATGCCTGGTATGTATGTGTAAGTGAAAGTTCAGTTAAAATGAAGAAAGAAATCTGTTTAACATGAACAGCAAAATGCCATGACGTCTGATTGTGCCAAGAGTTCATGGCACTTCATGGCCAACCCTCAATGTTAAGAACCATAAGAACTATACTGGTTTCTGCAAAAATGTGGTCTGAACAATTAGTTGCCCTGTTTTCCATGCGTGTTTAGAGGTAACTTTATATTAACTCAATCTGAGCAGCAGCAACACTCTACTGTCAGAACAGTGTTCATCACTGTTACACATACGCACCCATGCTGTGTGTTCTCTCAAGTAGCACCCCTTGTATTCTATCGTGTTCTTGTGTTTGACTTGCCGTAAGAACCGGACCTCTTTCACTATGTCTTGCCATTTCTACGAGAAGAAAGAAAAAAAAGGCATACAAGTACATGTACGTCACATTTATATCCATCACTTTTCATTAGGAAAGTTATCAAATATACATGGATCAGTGTGTGACACAAAGATGTAAATGCTCAATTGATGGTTTAATCCTTGCTCGGCAACCTCTCAAAGCAGCAGCCTGTGAAATTGAGAATTTCATATTTAATGCTACATGTATTTGAAACCGAGTCATTCCTGGTAGAATGGGCTAACTCCACATGTACATATATTGTGATATTCTTAGCAGACAACGTATTGACTGCATCTGCATGACAGCACTTGCCACTTCACATTTAATATACTGTACATGTACATGTGCAATATACATAATGTACATGTAGTACAATATAACATGTACACTATCTGGCAAAATGTGGTGCCATTTGGACAACTGACTCTTAAAGAACATTTTTTTTAAACATGCTCATCAACACTATCAAAAGTGTAGTTACTTCATCCAAAAATCAAAGTTTTTGGTCTGGCCAGGCATATCAAGATGTTACCATGACAACCACAGAGGGAACATAAATTCCAAATGTAATAAATTGGATGTTGATATCACACGATTCTATATTTAATGACATGTTGTAATAGATTTGGTATTTGGTACATGGAAAGTGTCACTCTGTCTGCAGTTATAAATAGATTATTTGTGGATGATGTCATGCAATAACTCCTTCCGTTGCTTGAGTCTTCAGGGGTAAAAGTTGACCATTTTTTTCAACAGAGGCAGCTCATTTGCGGGGATCAGACGGATAAACATTTCCTCTTCGTGTACAACAAGCTGTTCTTGTGACATACACACACACACAGAAGACGTGTGTAAACAAACAAAAAGTAAGTTCACTGACGTGATGATTTCAGGATACGTGATGCTCCACAAACAGAACCACCTGGAGTTTGAAACAGCTCTCATGGTTTCGATCACCTACAGCGAACTACTTTCACAGACCTGTATCAAACACTGAGTGTCCCACAGCTCTTTGCAATTACAGAACTGGGCCACATTTGGTATCGCGACTGGCTTCAACCTCAAGCCCAACCTGTCAAGGTTTCAACACCAAAATGAGTGAATAATGGTAAGGCGACCAAGTTTATTTGGAAGTTGTTTGTCCGGGTTACACATGGCACCACAACAAATAAACCAATGCATGTACAGTATATGTAGGTCACGTGCATCACTGTCTGGCTTGAATATTTCCAGTCCAGGAAAAAGTTGAACAGGCCAATTTTGTATACGCGTCTACTGTACATGCATACCGGTATGTACAATGTACCCGGCTACAACTACATGGAGAAAAGGGTTAGAAAACGTGACCAGAGTCATCGACATTAAAAAATCCTGACACCAAGATGACAATATACCAGCACCGGTACCTCAAAAACCTCTGTCACGTAGGAAATGGCAAAAGGACCTACAAGACTACAGTGTCCATGTACTAAAGGTTTATAACACACCTCTTGCTGTTTTTTTACTCTGGTTGGCTAAATGTGGTCACATGGAAATCACTAATACAGGCAAATACATAACATCAATGTGTCAATGTGAACTAAATACATGTGTCAGGACCTCACATGTGCATAATTTCCAAAGTTCAGTGCTAGATCAGGCACTTTACCCAAGACATTTCTACTGGTCACAGAACCCTCCATTATAAATTCTAGAAAAGTTTTATCAATATTTGGACAGAGGTACATGTACATGAATGTTATAAAACACACATGGACTCAATCAGTAGTGCACGTCCTTGTCTTCCTTGAGCCGGTGAGTGACCAGAAGTACACGTACATGTAGGTCTTGTTTCCCTCAGCTTGGCGCCCCCTGGAATAGAACCCTCTCCTGGTCAGCTCACAGTCCCTCAGAAACACAAACATGCGCCAGTGACCTCAATGCCACTTCATACATAAATACACATATTTCTTTTTTTCAATAAAATTTTCTTCCACAGAATCTAAACATCATTCAAAAGAAAATTCTGTTTTACTTTTATGGTGCAGATGTTACTTGAAATGGAAGAAACAGGGGTATTTTCTCTATCTCTGTTTTTTAAAACTTATTCCCCAAACTTGCCGAGCTTTTCTCATCACGCAATGAAGAAAAACACACGCAGCATAATGCAGACAGTGGAGATATTGACTAATCAGTGAGGAAACAAGACAAGAAATGGAATGAGAAAATAAAACAAAATTAAAAATACAATTCAATACAATAAAATACAATAACCATTCCTCTGTTGAAGGGAGAAATTAATGCAAAACTGTCATATTTCACTTCAAAACACAATTTTATTTATTTGGTGCATAAAGACACAATGAGAACCATTCCAGATTGTGAGGGACTAGTCAAGTAATGGTTGCACTAGCTATGATGGCTAGTGGTAATTACAGTTATGGGGAAACTTTGACTCTGTACATGAAGCTAGTCTCACCTCATTGGATGATTTGCCGCTGTAAGACATCTTCTTAATAGCCACCACCTCCCCCGTCTTGGTGTTGCGGGCCTGCAAACAGAGATCATATGACAAATTTCCACCAAAATGTTGGAGAAAAAAAAAAGGCAAAAGAAAGGCTACAGGTACCGTACATCTTTTAGAAAAAAATTTAATGCACAGAATAAGGAGAGCAAGAAAAGAAAACTTTGATACATTTAATACATCAATAAGCAAGGCAAACCCAGCAGGCCCCTTCAAGCTGCTAGCAGGGCATGAAAAAGTTTACCATACAACATATTGCTAAATTCAGATTTCAACCAAACTATGCAAGAAAAGTACTGGGACAATTTGCTTGCACACAAAAACTAATGATTCATGTATGTGTGTGGGCATTGAATTTGCAAAGTTTCACTCACAAAGTAAACCGCCCCAAAACTGCCATGGCCAATCTCTTGCAGGTCGGTGAAAAGTTTCTCAGGGTCTTCATCCGAGAAGAATGAGGCAACCTCCGGGTCCTTAATTTGTGATACCCTCGTTGGTAATGGCATCCTACTGCAAGAGACAGTCCTGGTTTAAGAGTACAGGGGCACTAACTTCACTGGTGTAGGGTGATGCCCACATGGGGTAGGGGGTGGGTGATACGGCTGCAGCTGTCTGACTGCTGGAGCCTTGATGCCAAATTAATACGCACACTGCCTAGAAAGAAACAAGTAAGACCAAATCAAGCAACAGTGATACCATGTGGTCATACAGGTAGGAGCAATTCACAGTGCAGAGCACCACCAAAAACTTGCTTTGAAGAGGCAACTTCCAATTTCATAACTCACATCCTGCAATTCATCATTTAGCAAGTACATTCATCTTTCATTATTGCAATACATGTACCTCAAACACAAGCGTACTTCTAAAACTCTTGAATTCAAACATGTTTACTGACTAAAACTACATGTACAGTACTTCCAAAGTTCGACCAAGCACACATTCATGCACATGTAAGTAACCATAGTGCAAAGAGTAAACACAATATAACTTGCACAGTCATAGTGCAAAAAGACCATCTGCTTGCAGTGCTCCTTCAATAACAAGCAACATTCTACATTTTGCTGATTACCGTCTGGTCCTTCACTGTACCTATATTGTGACCGGTACACTTGCACATGTTCACTGACATTAGAGTTTGATTTTACCCTAACACCCTAGGCTCTTGCACTAAGGAGCATACTGAACTTAATATGTACCTGTACAAGCAGGTCAGTATACCAAACCTGATAAATTTCAACAGAATGAGCCTGTTGGAGTTTGAGTAATATGGTATGGATGGGTCTATGCAGTATAGGATGACTTGCACTGAACAGTACCAAACCTGACAAAATCAAGCACAGTCCTACAACTGTTACAGCAAGCCAGACACTGCAGACAACAACACCTCTTAGGTTGGGATGGAAAGGAGATTCATTGTATTAACGTATATTTTATACACGAAAGTACTAAGGCACATTTGTAGTGAGCTCTTTGATGTCTCAATGTGCATGGTATACGTACATGTGTGTAAATGTCCAAACCGAACTCAAACTGAACCTTGCAGCACTAAAAAACCTTCAAATTTAACTTGTGAACACAGATAATATACACACTGATAACAGACTTAGTTCCATGAATTAACTTGAAGAAATCAACTTGCAAAATCGATGTTTTTTTACTTGTTTGGGCAGACTGTAATAATACCATTTTTATAGACAGGTTGCCACATTTACCAGTTGCCACATTTACCGGTAGATTCCGTGTTCTTTGCACGGGCACAATGCAGCGGGAACCAGCACAGCATTGCTTTAATGCATGGAGCTTTGTGCATGTGTTTTCACCACTGCGACACCGAAACGACACCTCAAATTCACAGCTGGATGTTTGAAATGGCCCTTCAAACCTCCTCAACAAGCACTGCAGTAATATTAACGTCATTAACAGTATCAAAATCAAGCACAAAGGCACATTTGTATTCAATATAAAGCCACCATGAGGCCCCCAGTATTTAGAGTAACCCCATCTACGGTAGTTACATGTATGTAGACCTATTGACCAAATTGGCAACATCCTTTTATTATCATTTAAACTACAATTTAAAAATAAGATGCACATTTTCATAATAAATTTCACCATATTACTTGTTCATGCAGTGATGAAGAAGAAATTATAGTCAAAGGATATTTCCAACTATTTTTGACCATTTTCCCGACAAGACCTGACAAAATTGGTTGGCACTGCCCATGACAGCTACATGTATATGTACCCGGTAGTCCTACATGTATACATATGTATTTCCTGTTTATACATGTACATGCGCACGTACATGTACCTAGACAACTCAACAGGATCTTACTTTAAATGAAAATGTTACGTTGTTGGGGGCGCTGTTCAGCATTTTAACTTTGCTTAACGTCTTCTGTTTAAATTATTATTTTGAACAACTGTCCCAGGTACCTTGCCATCCAAGTTCCTCTTGTAATGTAAGATGTCTTCAGTGATCAGTGTGGTGTTTCTGGTGATTATTTTGCATTATCGATGTTGGAGTTTTGTTTTTGTGAGTGAAAACTTGTGTGGCTAGGCATACAGTGAACCTTGTAATTGTACATATTAGTGTTTAAACATGGCAGCCACTATCATTATCAGTGTGATCGATAATCATGATTCGAAAATGCCATGATACGCATTGCGATACAAACATAAGAATCACGAAATTTGGTGCGGGGGAATCAATTATGATAAATGTACAGTACGTTGAAAATAAAGTTAGGCCTAATAAAAATTTAAAATATATAGCTTTTCATTTTTAATACTAACTTAAAATACTCTTGCAAGAAATAGTTTGGACTGGTTCAGCACCACAGACAACTTGCCGCATGTACATGTATCTAGCAATAGTACGCAAAAGTGACGGCGAGGCATGCATTGTGGATGTAACAGCGCAGCCAAACCTTCACACCAATCTCGGTGTCATGAGACATTGGATTCATATCAGACTTTATCCTTCCATTTGTTAAACCATACCAGTTTATCAGGTTTAGACAGGTTTTTTTCTTCCTTGTATACTAGGCCTATGTACATATAAGTGCCAATTTTTCCGTTTTTTCCTTTTTCTACCAATGTGTCGTGACGGCCAGGTCAAACTTTACACATCCTCGTTCGGACGTCGAACAGTATTGGAGCTCCGTAATGCACGCGACTGAATGCACATGTACACATACATGTACAGTACATGTACATGCGTGCCATGATACATGTACGTATCTGTGTGGCTGGGCTCAAAGCACAAGCTTTGTGTTTAAACAGCATTCTGGGACCATTCGGTCATTGTGTTGTGACTGCCTGCCAATGAAGCATCAATATTCATTCATGAGTTAGTGGGACTCATTACAGCCGTTCGTGTGTGAGAAGACGTAGTGACTAACAATCTCCACTATAACTTGTGATAGCACACATTGCAGTGTGAATTTACGGCTTGAAATAAGGTTAGTACATTTTCGCTTTCGCCGATAGAGGGTTTCGTGACAACTGGCACGGGGCACTAAGTTATTGTATTATGCATCATTGTGCGGGATTTAAGTTTTGTATGGGCTTTCAAACAATTTTTAGGCATTACCTTTTTGAAATGTCATAGCAACACAAATGTATAATTGTCTGAAGAGGCTCTGACTTAGATACGATCTTTGACAAGACCATTCCTCAAGTGACAAATCCACAGAAAAAACAGTGGATGGACTCACTGCAGACAATCCAAATCACTTTTTAAGTTAAAAAAAATCCCCACCCCAAAAGTTTTGGCCAAGAAACTTTAGAAGAAAAAAACATACTACCCACCTACCCAACCTATTTTTGCTTCAATGTGATAGGAAGCACAGCTATTATTTTGTTTGACCTAATGTCAATAAACCAGAAACATTTAGAGAAATAAATGCAGTTTTATGTTTAATTTTGAGAATCACCTTGCAGAAACTTTTTGTCCTCGTCACCTATAAGCTCACCATTGGTAAGCTTCTATTGGTAAGTTACCATTGGTAAGCTACTATTGGTAAGTTACCATTGGTAAGTTACCATTGGTAAGTTACCATTGGTAAGTTACCATTGGTAAGTTACCATTGGTAGGTTACTATTGTCAAGTTACCATTGGTAAGTTACCATTGGTAAGTTACCATTGGTAGGTTACCATTGGTAGGTTACCATTGGTAGGTTACCATTGGTAAGTTACCATTGGTAGGTTACCATTGGTAAGTTACTTTTGGCAAATTACTATTGGTAAGTTACCAAGTGAATTGTTTTAAATTGGCTTTTTGTATTATTGGTTTCTTTGTTGTTACGATATGTACAGTATCGTGATATTTATCGCGACCCAAGTATCTCAATATGTATTGTAACGGGAGAAAGTGGTACCGTTACACCCCTAGTGATGCTTTCTCGTCTTCTGGTGTGTTGAGGGTTTCTGATGTCTCCTTGCCACTCATATGAGTCATTGTATATATTGATAGCATTTTAACCACAACGCTGAACCATAGTTACCACCTGGGAAAGACAACATTTCAAAGGGCCATATTTATTCATCCAAACATCAACCCCCCCAATGCACCTTTGTCCTATGGGCTACAACCATACCAGCCTGTCTGTAATGAAATAGTCAAAACATGAATGTACTCAGTCTTGATGTGCCTGGCAATGACCCACCCAAAGACGTAGATGTAACTGTTTACATGGCGAAAAAAAGGAGAAAGGTAGTGAAGTCACTGTGCCCAAACAACACCTCGCATTATCAAAGAAAATCTGATCATTTTGAAATTACACTGTGGCTTTCAAGTTTAAGATGGACAGTTTGTGACCAGTTCACACAAGAGGGCATGTAAACACAATGTGGCAATCAACAGTTATGAAACGGACCGATAATGTTGCTTTCAGTGGATGTACATGTACATGTAGCGGTACAGTGCCAATACAATGTACATGTACCACATCTGATTTTCCTGATGCTGCAGTACACATTACAGGCAACATCCACAAAACATGGGGAGATGAGTACATACATGTACATGTATTATTTTAAAGACGGCCAGACCTCAGAGTGCTGCAAAATATGATGTTACAGTGAGAAATATCCTACAAATACCGAACATGTACAGAGTGTACGAGAACATGTACGAGTCTCAGTAGTCAGTACATGTGTATTTATGGTATTTGGCTTTAGTTTAGAAGTTGGCCTGTACTGACTGTATTCATTCAAAATCATATTTCTCAGACAAAAATAATACCGCCAGCAAGTGGTAATCAGCTGAAGACACACCTACATAAATAGTATAAATAGTATATGTGCATGTACACTCAACAATGAACTATGAAATTTGTAAATTCATTCAGCCAACAGAGGCACTAAACTCCACTGTAAGCCAATGTCATTATTTGTTTGACTTTTTTTGCCCGCCCCCAGGCTGAGACCAGCCAAGAAAAACCTCCATGATAATAGGCCAGACACGCCAATAGCTGATGCATTGTGGTCAGGGTGCTAAACCCCTTATTTGTATTGGTTCAGGTTATGGGCTGTGCTGTTGCTGCTGAGAACTACAGCTGGCCCCATTTCTTTCAATGGTTATCCAACAAAGGACTGCTGGGAGGGGGGGCCTTGAGGAACTCCTGAAAAAGTGGCATATACATGTAAA